CTGGGGCAGATTCTGTGCTCTAGTCTCACGCTGCATTCAGTCAGAGCTGAGTGGACTCATCAAGTCCCCCCAGAATGGAAGTGGGGCCCTGGATGAAGCAGGGAAAGATAACCTGCTGAACCCCCCCTTCTTTCCCTCGACGGGCCTCAGAATGGAGGCATTCAAGTATTCTGTAGGCTCTGGGTTCCAGACGTGGGGGGCCCCAGGCCCCAGGCCCCAGCGAGTGTTGCTGGGATTGCGCAGGCGCCTTGAAGTTGCGGCTGCTTCCCCCCGCGCCCGTGGCCCATGCAGAAGTGGAGAGAGCTGTGCATGAAACCTGCCACTGTTACTTTACAAACATGGGAAATTCCAGCGGCACATCTAACCCAGCATCTTTTTTATCAGGGACATTCTCGAGGGTGATGTTAAAGATTTGAGCGTGTTTCACATGTGTCCTGGGTGAAGAGACAGCCAAATAGGGGACAGTGGTGGCCCTAGCTACAGAGGACGCCTGCTCTGTGCGAAGGTGGGTTTCCTTCAGGGCAGAAGCCCAGGGTATGCAAAGATGGCTACTCACTCATTAGTCATGTAACTATGCACGACTGCTTTGTGATGGGCGCTGGGAATAAGCTCTGAGCAGAAAGAAGCTCTTGCCTTAGTGCATCAAGAATGATCATGTCTAGCCCTTTGGCCAGCATCAAGCACACTGGAATAAATGAGTGAAAAAATAAGCAGAAAACTTACAGGCATAGACAGCACATGCTTGGGAAGAGTGTGTATGTGTAAAATGATAAGCCAGTAAATTAATACATATAGAATGTGTCAGGTGATAAGTTCTGTGAAGAAAAGGTCCTGAAAGATCAGGTGACAGAGAGTGACATTGGGAAGAGTGGAATTATAGACAGGGTAGTCAAGGAAGGCTTCTCATAGGAGAGGACATTTGGACAGAGTCACAAATAAAGTGAGGGAATGAGTCATGCGGTTAGCCAGGGGAAGAGAGGGCCAGGCAGAGTAAGTGCAAAGGCCCTGAGGCTGGTGCTAGGCTGGCTCATGTGAGGAACAGAACAAGCTCGGTGTGGCTGATGGTCAGTGGGTGAGGGAGAGCAGCAGAAGAGACAAGAGAGGTAGTTAAGGCCTGATCACAGGGAGCCTTGTGGGCGAATGGTAAGGACTTGGGGTTTGGTTCTGAGAGCAAATACAGGGTTTGGGCCAAAGAGTTAGAGTCTGTACTGCTTCTTAGAAAGATTCTTCTGGATCCTGGTGGAACAGAATGGAGGAGGAGTGGGTTTTAGGTGGAAGCAGGGGGATCTGGGACAGTAAGTAAAGAGGGAGATGATGGTGGCTCAGGACAGAGGAAGTGGAGAAAATGGTCAGATGCCTGGGTGTAGACAGACAGAGTTTTCCAAAAGCTGGATGTGGGTGTGAGGGGAAGAGAGGAGCCAAGGACATCAAGAGTGTTGGCCAGAACAAATGGATGGGTGCAGTTGTCATTAGCGAAGATGAACTGGGTGGGGGTGGGTTGAGGGTGGGAATCAGCAATTGAGCTTTGGATGAGTTTTCTATATTCTGGTGGTCAGCCAGCATGGATTATTAGAATTACCACATTATTATTACCGAGGTGGTTCTTGTTACTGCTGATTGGGGGCATACTGAGGACAGGGAGCTGCGTAAGTACTTTACATATATTATTTTCTTCATTATTCACAACAATCCTATGGGGAGATGCTATAATTCCCCACTTAGCAGTGCAGAAGTTGAGGTTCAGAGAGGGGAAGAGACTGGTGGAGGTTGCACAGCTGATGAGCAGCCATCTTCCCAGGCAAAGGGTCTGAATCCCTGTCTTTAGTGCCTCCAACCCCAATGGGAATTTCCCCCAACCAGTGGATCTCAGGCCACCAGAGCTGGAAGGACTGCTGGCTGAGGGAAAGGCCTCTGAAGAGTCAGGAAATGTGGGGAGAGCTCTTACAAACCAACACAGCAGGATGTGCTGGGCCTGGGGTGTGGGGATTCGAGGGCACTCACTTAACTTAGCTGTCCCCACTGGTGAACTGGGCATCAGACTTCAGGGAGTTACTGCTTTGCTGAAGAAGCTCTTTATTGATTCTTGTAAGTCAGGCATCTCCAGGTTGGAAAGAAGGTCCGCACCTGGGAGTCCTTTGGTCAGAGTTGAGAAACACAGGCCCCAAAACCCAATTAGACATTTAGATGCCCCAAATTCCCAGACACAACCTTGACCTCTGAGCATGTCCCATGTATGGCATTTGCTTTTCATTCATCTAGTCTTTCTGGCCTGCTTGTCACTGGGCCAAGTTCTAGACACAATCATTTAGCAAATATTTATAGGGGCCTACTATGTGCCAGAGCCACGCCAAGGGATGGGGCTGCACTGGTGAAAACAGGCAGAGCTCTCTGCCTCGTGGACTGGCGGCCTAGTAGGACTGAGGGAAGAGAGATGATAAGGTGGGAAATAAAGGGAGATGCAGGAGCAGGTGCAAGTAAGTGCTGCGAAGGGGCTGATTTCAAAATCTCTAGCAACCAGTTCAGCATGAGCACCAACCAAAAAGGACACACGCCTTAGCTCTGCAGCCTAGTCCTGGGGCTCCCGGGCTATGCCAGGTGTTAACTCTTTAGATTTTGGTTGGCGAGGAAGTTGGAGTTCTGGGGGTGAAGCTGGGATGGTTGGGGTGATGTGGGGGGAGCCACCTGGGCAGTCTCTGAGCAGAGGCTATTTTCCAAGGAGCACTGAAAGAAATGCCAGTATTTTGACCACTGCAGCCATATTGATACCTTCTGATGAACGCTGTTTCTGTCTAGGAGGGGAAAACAAAAGGCAGAGAGGAATTGAGAGTACTGGGTGAGGGTGCTAATTTATGCAGGGAGGTCAAAGAATGTCCTTTTGCAAATGTGACATCTTAGCAGAGACCTGAAGAAAGCAAGGGAGCCCTGTTGATAGGGGAAGAGTGTTTTAGGCAGAGGGAACAGTATGTGCAATGGTTCTGGGGTGTGCTTAATGTGTTGAGGAGGCTACTGTGGTAGGAGAGGAGTGAGTGGGTGTGAGAGAGGTGGGCAGGGCCTGTCCAGGTAGGGCTGGATTCTTGGATGGTGGGTCTTAGTAGACGAAGCAGGACAAGGAGACAGGAGGGGGAATCTTGGGGAAACAGAGCCTGCTGAGATCTGGGGAGAGCTGGCCAAAGCGCTCTGGAGCTGGAATGTCACCTCTCTAAGCAAAGGATCTCATAGTGTGGGTTCAAATTCTGGCTCCCACTTCTTCACTGTGTGGCCTTGATGAGTCTCTTTGCCTCCATGAGCCTCAGTTTCCTCACCTGTCAAATGGGGACAAGAATAGTGTTTGGTATAAGGGTGTCGTGAAGAATTAACGAGATCTCGTGTGCCAGCAAAAGCAGCCCTCCCCGATGGTGGTGGTCTTAGCATAAACTGATACTGTCTCAACCACGGCCAGGTGCAGCCTGGGGACAGCTGGGTTCTGGGGCATCAATGGAGGGACTTTGGGCAGAGAGAGGAACCTGTCTCCATTGGACAGTTGAACACCACCGGAGCCCTTGGCCTCACCAGGCAGGTAGGGTTTCTGTGCAGCCTGTCAGGTGGGTGCAAAAGCTTTCAGGGTTGGTGATGGGAGAGATGGGTGAGCCCTGGGGGCTGGAGACTATGGGTGCTCTCAGGCACTGCTTGAAGAGATGTCAGCTCCCGTGGAACCCTAGCCCTTCAAAAGGCATGGGGGAGCAGGCTGGGATGTTGCCCAGACCTCTGAGCTTGAGTCACCTTGCCCTGAACTTCTGAGCCCAATCAGACCAAGTATTCCCCTGATCTCCCACAAGTCCTCTCGGAGTCCGTGGCAGGGAATGGAGGAAAGCACCAGGATTATCCCCAGGATGTGACTGTCCTACCCTCACTGCCTGTCTGGTCCAGAGTGAGTGCTCACTCTATACCCGCTGAATGTGTGAATAGATGAATCAAGGGTTCTACACTGCCACAGGCTGGCTGTGTGACCTTAGGCCACTTTCTTGCCCTCTCTGCCTCAGGATCCCCATTTGTAAAACAAGAAGTTGGGCTGGATAGTCACAGACGTTCCTTCCAGTTCTTGCCCCAGGTCTCTCCTGCCCTAGTTGCACCTCTTCCCCCAAATCCCAAATGGAAGGAATGCAACAGGTCACACAGGATCACACAGCAGTGGCCTTTATTGCTGGGGTGGAGGGTGATGAGCACAGGGACTGCTGCTCAATTGTGAAGGCAAGGGGCAGCGGGGAGGGGTCCTTCTGGCTGGGCTCAGGCCTTCAGTCCAGCTGGATGGTGGCAGCACCTTCCTAGGGGGAGATGCTGCAAGGAAACCCAGGCAAGCAGCTGGGAATTAATCTGGAATGAGACCACAGGGAGTTAGGTCACTGACATCAAAAGGACCCTTACAGGCACCTGCTATTCACCACACACAACTGCCCACGCTCTTTCCCACAATACCCTGCAGGGCCTAAGGCCTTGGAGAGGGGACTGGCACCTGTGGTTTGGGGTCTTTCTCTGGCACTTGGCACTGAATCATCCTTATGCCCTCACTCTTCCCACCCCTCACCTTAGGAACAATGGCAGATGCAAAGAGACTGACCAGAGTCCAGCACTGGAGTCAGGGGTCAGGGCTCTCTATATAATCAGGATCATGGATCAGTCCGAGGTCAGGGCCAGGGCTCAGTCTGTCACTAATTTCAGGGCTCAGTCAATAACTGGGGCCAAAGCTCAGTCTGCGACTAGGATCCAGGCTCAGTCTAGGTGTGTGATTAAGGCTTGGGATTTAGACTGTGGCCAGGATCAGGGCTCAGCTTGGGACTAGGGTCAAGGCTCAGCCGAAGACCAAGATCAGCAAGATCAGGACTCAGGCTGCTTCAAGAAAGACGGGAGAACCCAAGCCTTGCGTTGGCTTCCCCACAGCTCCCTGAGGAGGAGCCTCATCCTGCCACAGCGTGGGACAGAGCCTGGGCCCGCACCTGTTGGGGGCATCACAGCAGTCCTTCTCATCTGTCCTCTTCAGACACTTTTTTGCGCTTCGCCTCCCAGCTTCAGTTTATCTGGAGGAACAAAATCAATAATAGGTCTCAGTCTCCATCAACTAGAATAGTGTAGGGGTCTGGGACACCTACACCGCCCGGCTGGCATGGCTCAGTGGTTGAGCATCCAGGAGATGGCGGTTTGATTCCTGGTCAGGGCACATGCCCGGGTTGCGGGCTCGATCCCCAGTCAGGGATTTGCAGGACGCAGCCAATCAATGACTCATCATCATTGATGTTTCTCTCTCCCTCTCCCTTCCTCTCTCTGAAAGTCAATAAAGATATATTTAAAAAAAGAAAAAGAAACCAGACACCAATGGCTGCCATTCTCCAATGGGTCAGCCTGACAGCCGTGGTACCTCAGGCATGTCACTCCACCTTTATGAGCCTCAGTTTGTTCATCTGTAAAATGGGTGCAATGCCAGTACCTACCCCACAGGGTGGTTGTGAAGATTCAATGGGATGGTGCATGCAGAGCACAGAGGGATTGCCCATTCACTTAACCCATTTCTATTGCTCCAGTATCCCCAGCACCCCCAGACATACCTGGATACCCAAAGGCTAAAGAAAGCCCCCAGTGGCTGGAGGAGAAGCCCCAGCTCCTCGTAAGGAGGGAAAGGGAAGGGCAGCTGGTTAGCAGTGCCTGCTAGACCTCAGGCTCTTGATGCCTTTCCTTTTAACCCACTTGCCAGCCCCATGCTGTTTACAATCTTGTTTTTCCCACAAGAAATGGAAGCTGAGAGAGGCACAGACGCTTGACCAAGGCCCCACAGTTGCTAAGTAGCAGAGCCAGGATTTGAACTTCGATCTGGCCCACATTCTTTCTCACATCATTCTGCCAGGCAGCTTCTATGGGTTTACCAAGGGATGGTGGCAGAGAGCTCTCAGGAGTCCACAGAACCCCTTCCATTCTGCAAGGACCCCTCCAGCCACAATCTCCCAACTTGCTCAGGACGTTGGGTGCTTCTGTTTCTCCAAGGTCCCCTGACCAGACCTGCCTGTGGGGTGGGCACTGAGTTGCACTCCTGCCCTGGGAAGGCTGCACAGGAACACCTCTGCTTCCCCAGGGTGTGACTTACCGATGATAGCCTGAACAAAATTCCCATCCAAGGTGCCGGCAGTGAGGCGGATCAGTGGGCACACCTGAGGGGGAAAGAGAGAGGGAGAAGAGGTGGGGGAGGAGAGAAAAGGACAAGCCGCTGGCCACCCCCGGAGAGGCTTTTCACACGGGGCCTTAGAACCTTAGGATTCTAGAACACTGGAAACCTAGAAGTCCAAAGCCTGAGAACCATAGGATGCTAGCATCCTAACACCTACAACGCTAATTCCTAGAGCCTTAAGAATCTAGAGTGTTAACCTCCCAGACCCTTACACTCTTCAAAACCTTCAACTTTGTAACCCTGGAATTTTAGGGTCAAACGGGGCCCTGGAAACCCTACAACAGTGTTTCTTATGATTTTGTGTGCAGTTCCCTGGGGATCTGGTTAGAATGAAAATTCCAATTCCGCAGGCCTGGGGTGGGGCCTGAGGGTCTGCCTTTCCAGCCTTCTCCCAGGCGAGGCTGTGACCACACATCGAGCAGCGAGGCTCTAGTCCTGGGATTTTCCTTTCATGAACCCAGATTCCTAACTGCCTTCTAGAATGACTAATTGAAAGTCTCTGGGACTTTGGGCACACAGTACATACAGTTTTGTATGATGCATAGGAGTCCTACACATGGTACATATGGCTTTGGATGATGTGGAAATAAAAAAAATTTTTTTTATAGGTCTGTGTTTATTTTTGAAATTAATTCTATTAAAGTGATATTAATTTCTATTAATGGCAGGGATATGAAGTTTTCTTTTAAAAATAAGAATATTTAAATAAATTTAAGTAAGTAAAATTGTGTTGATTAAAGGAAAACATTAGCTAAAAAATACATCGGTAGTACATGGATATGACAAATAGCTCAAGTTTGGGACCCAGTAATCTCAGCTAATGTCAGGCCTTGTTTCCCCTTCCCCCAATCCCCCCAGGCTGAGCAAAGGGGGGCAGGTTCCAGCTGACAGCCCACAGAGAAGTTTGCACCTCAAAAGGAAAGGGGCCCAGAGAGCACAGCCAAGCCTGTAAGTGCCACACTGCTCCCCCCCACCCCAGGCCTGGCTTTGGGCCCCCAGGAGCGGAGGACTCACCTGATTCTGCACCAGCAAGGACACTGTCTTGCTCAACAAGCCGGTCAGAGTGTCAGTGAGGGAGTTGACCACTGCACTGTGTCTGGANCCCAGGGAATTTATCCTGCAGCTCTGGGTGTCAGTATCCAGAGGTGTCACATAATGCCCCACTCTGCTGCTGTAAATACTCTCAGGGTTTCTCTTCCACTTTGGATGGAATCCCAAGCCCTCCCTATGGCCATCTAGGCTCTGCATGGTCTGCCCCATCCTCACCTCACTTCACTCTCCCCTTGTTCTCCAGGGCAGACACACTGGCCTTTGCTCTGGGCCTCAGGCTACCTCTCTCCCACCTCCAGACCTGTCCAGGGCTGTCCTAGCTCCCTAGGGCCTTTCTCCTCAATGTACATCTCATCCTTCAGGGTTTAAAACTAGGTTCCTCCGATTCACTCTCACCCTTCAGAGTACTTGTCACAAGTTGTCATCATACATTTAATTGTATGTTTACTCCATGCATTCTTTCAGCTTCAAATGTATTGAGTATCTGCTATGATATTGAGGCAGGCAGTGTTCTGGGCTCCGGAGAATGTATTGGTGAGAACAGACAAGGACCCTATTCTTATGGTGCTTATTGTCGTGAGGGAAAGGCAGACAGGCGAGCATTCAGCCCCTCAATAAAGAGCCCTCAAGGAAGATGCAAGATGGCATGAGCCCTGGGCACAGCAGCACACTTATCAGGGAACTGATACAAAGCCTTTCCTTAGGCAAGCAGTCAGAGAGGGCTGCCCTGAGGAGGTGACAGTTACCCTGAGAGCTGAAGGTGGGAAGGAGCGGGCCTTAGCAAGACTTGTTTAATGTTTAGGTACCAGGTGAGGAGCTGTGTGTCCTCTGCTTATCCCCATGTCCCCAGTCTAGCTTGGTCCCTGGCGCAGAGTTTCTGCTGTATAATATTTGTTAAATGAATGGGGATGACAAAGCACCTTGAAAGCAGATAAACAAACCCCAGGGACACTGAGAGGCCTTTCCCTTCATCCAGGGGAATCCACACTTGTAATCCCATGTCTGACCAGCAGCTCACCCTAATACCTCATGAGAATCTCTCATCACAACCCCATTCATTTAACAAATATTATACAGCAGAAACTCTGCGCCAGGGACCAAGCTAGACTGGGGACATGGGGATAAGCAGAGGACACACAGCTCCTCACCTGGTACCTAAACATTAAACAAGTCTTGCTAAGGCCCGCTCCTTCCCACCTTCAGCTCTCAGGGTAACTGTCACCTCCTCAGGGCAGCCCTCTCTGACTGCTTGCCTAAGGAAAGGCTTTGTATCAGTTCCCTGATAAGTGTGCTGCTGTGCCCAGGGCTCATGCCATCTTGCATCTTCCTTGAGGGCTCTTTATTGAGGGGCTGAATGCTCGCCTGTCTGCCTTTCCCTCACGACAATAAGCACCATAAGAATAGGGTCCTTGTCTGTTCTCACCAATACATTCTCCGGAGCCCAGAACACTGCCTGCCTCAATATCATAGCAGATACTCAATACATTTGAAGCTGAAAGAATGCATGGAGTAAACATACAATTAAATGTATGATGACAACTTGTGACAAGTACTCTGAAGGGTGAGAGTGAATCGGAGGAACCTAGTTTTAAACCCTGAAGGATGAGATGTACATTGAGGGGAAAGGCCCTAGGGAGCTAGGACAGCCCTGGACAGGTCTGGAGGTGGGAGAGAGGTAGCCTGAGGCCCAGAGCAAAGGCCAGTGTGTCTGCCCTGGAGAACAAGGGGAGAGTGAAGTGAGGTGAGGATGGGGCAGACCATGCAGAGCCTAGATGGCCATAGGGAGGGCTTGGGATTCCATCCAAAGTGGAAGAGAAACCCTGAGAGTATTTACAGCAGCAGAGTGGGGCATTATGTGACACCTCTGGATACTGACACCCAGAGCTGCAGGATAAATTCCCTGGGGCTACAGGCAAAGCAGTGTCTGGCAGGGCTCAGGCCTCTGAATTTGCACCCCAGCCTTTCCAAGTAACATCAGGCCTGGGAGCCTTTGTTTGGCTTTAGGGTGGTCTTTAGATAACCTATGATCAGACCCCCTGGTGGAGGTGAGGTGGGTTGACCTCTGCTCATGGCTCAGCTTTATTCCCTGCCAAAGCCCACCCACCCCAGTCCTCAGCTTCCAGAGCATCTGTCCTTGTCCCAGCCATGGCCAGGGTCACACTTTCTCCCTCAGCCCTCTTCTCGGAGCCAAACCTGCTCTTTGGATCACATAGTTTAAGATGTAGATTTTGTGGATTAACAGGGATCAATGGTTTAAATGGAGAGGATTAAGTTTTCAAGATCTCATTTCAGGAATTTTCCAGTGGGTGCAGGACACTTGGGGACAATCTGAAATTAGAGCCCACGGTGGACTCTACTTCCCCCTCCCCCCCAACCAGAGACAAGAAGGGAAATACAAATGATGATGGTGATGGTGATGATTGAAAGCGTTACATAACAATGAAGGGGTAATTCTTCAAGAAGACAGAGCAATCCTAAATATGCATGCCCCTAACAACAGAGCTTCAAAAAGCAAGCAGCAAAATTCTGATAGAGCTGAAAGGTGAAATAAGCTGATTCAAGATTACGGTTAGAGAGGTCATCACTCCTGTCTCAGTCACAATGGATAGAACAAGGAGACACAGTCAGCATGGGTATCATTACTGAGATCTTAGTATGTGCCAGGCTCTGTGCTCAACACTCGTATTTTATCATTTGGTCAGTTCGGCAGCCTATGAGTAGATAGTATTGTCATCTTCGTTTACAGATGTGAAAACTGAGGCTCAGAGAGGTTAAGCTGATGACAAAGTTACAAGTTAGTGACAGAGCTGGTATATGAAGCAAGGTCTGTTTGACTACACAGCTTAGCTCCTCTTTTGCCACATTGTGCCACCTCTCAGGCATAAGAATAGGTCGTGAAATCAGGGGCCCTTGACTCCTCTGAGAGCCCAGCTCTGCTGGGACAGACAGGACTTACCTGCCCAACAAGTTTAATGAGATGCTGTCTTCGTTGCTGGAACAGTTTTTCACGACCACTTCGGGGATGCCAGTATTGGCATCAGGTTCAAGTCCGATGTCAGCAATGAAGCCCAAGGAAGCCGCCAGGTTGACCGTCTTGCCAATGAGAGGCCTGCAGAAAGTCAGATCCACAGTGAGGAGAGGTCTAGATAGACCTTCCCCCTTGCCCGTGTGGGCTCCTCCACCTGTGTAGACATTACCCAGGATAGCTATGGATGGAGTCAACATTGTCCATGTTCTTTATGGGATTAACACACTTGCATTAGGTGCTTCTTCTCCTGGCTACATAGGTCTGGTTGATATGAAAATGTTATATAGAATCACACTAATAATTAAAATAATAATAATAGTTAACATTTATCGAGCACAAATTATGTTAGGCACCTTTGGAAGGTATTCGGCCTGGGCTGATCCATCTAATCATTACAGCAGTACCATGGGGAAAGTGCTCTTGGAATTAGGGAGCACTGGTACAGGAGGTCAAGGGACTACCCCAAGGGCTCACAGCTAACGAATGACAGGATGAAATGACAGTGTACCTAATTTACGAAGATTTTTCCACAGGTGCTCATTTTCCTACTTCTTTTAAAGTAATTAATATACTTTAAAATTATATTTTTCTACCATATGATTTCACATATATATAGGCTGTAATGAACAAAAGAGACAAAATAGAAACAGACTCAGATACAGAGAACAGACTGGCAGCTGCCAGAGGGGAGGGGGGCTGGGTGAGATAGGTGAAGAGATTAAGCAAAATAACCCCCCAAACTCGTGGACACAGATAACAGGATGGTGATTACCAGAGGATAGGGGGGTGGGGGGAGGTAGAAGAGGGCCAAGGGGGGACAAACGGTGTTAGGAGGAGACTAGACTTTGGATGGTGAGCACACAATACAACATGCAGATGATGTGTTGTAGGACTGTACACTTGAAACCTACGTAATTTTATTGACCAATGTAACCCCCATAAGTTTAATAAAAAATAAATAAAATAAATAAAATCCTATTTTTCACACATGCCCTTTATTATATACTATACAGTACTATATGCACTCATCTGAAATGGTCACTGCTATTTAAAGAGAATCTTGAGAGACAAAATAATACTAGAGGAAACTTTGCCAAAGAGTTATAAATGTTTGTCCTCTCCATTTTTGCAAATGTTACTATTAGATAAATGTTATGATTCCAGAAATATATTTAATGGAAGATTCTTTTGAAAGAGACTTGGTTATGGCCAAAGTTTATTAGAACCTTTTTAAAGGTTAGGATTTTAGAGCTGGAAAAGACCCCCTTATTTATAGATTGGGAGACAGACCCAAGGCCACACAACAGTGGGGAAAAGTGCCTGGTTCCAGCTTGGAGATCCATTGGCTAAACTGTGCTGCCTCCCCCCAATCCCAGACCCTAATCTAATGCATACTCACAGGGACAAGTCGACGTTAGCGGTGACGGGGAGCCCCACAGCAAGACCTGCGCCATCAGGAGATAGTTCGGGTTTGATACTCAGGATGTGGACATTATAGATATTCAACCTGTGCAAACCAGAATTCACCCTTGTCATTCCTCACGACAGCCATTTGCTGAGCACTTCTCTATGCCAGGATGGTGCTGAGCACTTGGGCCTCGTCAACCTTGCCTACTTTGGTCTTTACTGTCCTCTTCAGAGGTTTGATTGTCTCCATTTTATGACATGGCATACTGAGGAGCACAGCTGTGATTTCCTCCGACATTCCAAGGAACAGTAATTGCCAGAGCCAGAATCTGAAACCAAACTGTCTGACTCTAAAACTCTATGTGTGGAGCCAGCGGGTGTGAATTTCAGTTTCCTCTCTCTCCTGAGGGGATTCAAAATTTTATTCTCGGCTATATTTGGAGAGGAAAGTAATTCCCTGGAAAAGGGAATCCAGGCACCAGCAAGCAGGTGGGGGTGAGAGTGAAGAGAACCTTCACCCTGGCCCTGAAATTATAGAATGTGGAAGCTCAAACCCATGTGATGCCCAGATTGGTCCTGTGGCCCTGCCTCTAATTTACTCAAGCTCTGGTGGACCTGGCCCCAGACCCCTCAGCTCTGTGGGAAGAACGCATTTTATTGTCTTTCTGTCTTTAATGTTAAACTGACACCCCTCCCCCAAAGGTAGGTATTCCACTCCCCCACCCCCTTTTTGGAGCAAAGATCTCCACCATGAAGCAGCAACTTACTGGAAAGCTTGTTCTACAGATGAAAATATAGCAGAAAGGCCATCAGTCACCAAAGTTTCAGCTTTCTGGAACATCTCCCGGGCCGATTTCCAGTCATCGGAATTTAGAAACATCTCCTTGTCTTCCTTCAATTTCCCAATAAAACCTGACAAAAACTATCAATGTTTAGTGTTCTGTACCACATAGGAAGCAGCTTCTATGCGCCAGGTACTAGGTCAGACTGTTTGCCTATGTTATTTCCTTTAACCTTCATAATAACTCAGTGAGGTAGATATTGATATTAACTGCGCTTTACAGATGAGGAAGTAAGGGTAAAAAGTTTAAGAAATACGCCTGAAGACATACAGCTACAGAGTCCCTCTTCTTTCAGCTGCCTTCATACTAATATATCTCATTATTCATCAACAGACCAATCAATCAATTGACCAGGCAATTAATAATGATAATACACCAGCTTCTAATAGTGACTTGGGAGTGGTGGTGTCTACTGCTCTAAATGAGATGTCCACACGACTTGGAAAAACTTGGTCAAAGAAAATGAGAGAATAAACTAAAATATGGAAAACCTAGAATCAAGGAAAAAATATGACTCCAAGCCATAAAAGTGACAAATTGGAGTCCCAGGATGGAAGCTTTGCAGTAGGCCCAGAGAGCAATAACTCACACAGGAGTGGGAAGGCAGAGTGTCCTAGTAGATCGCCAGTAAAAAGAGGGATTAGATAGAACCTATCACATGGTAGGTGTAGAATGGTGCATATGAAAAGAGTTAGGATATGTGCGTACAATATTTCAAGTGAAAACCAACAAGGCAGTTACTAACTCAAGGAAAAACAAAAGACTGTACTGGAGAAGATATGTAATCATAGGAATCATTGATATGTAATCATTGGCTCTGCAATGGGTAGTTTCTACCTAGTTATAATCAATGATATGTAATCATTGGCTCTGCAATGGGTAGTTTCTACCTAGTTATAATGATGCAGACAGAATGCCAATTTAAATAAAACTATGGTGTTAAGGAGACTTAATGGGGTGGTGAACGCACAATACAGTGTACAGATGGTGTGTTGTGGATTGTATACCTGAAACCTGTATAATTTTGTTAACACCAATAAATTCAATAAAAAGGAGAAAAATTTAAAAAAACTATGTCTGGTCTTATAACTCACTAGGTGACCTTAACTCAGACACTTCTGTTTCTGAGCTTAGTTTTCTCAGCAGTGAAATTGAAGATTGGGTCCCTCCTCTATCTTCGAAGATTGCCTGACAATATTTGGAAGGCAGTCATTGACAGAAGTGACAAGCTCCTATAAAAAATATTTGTCAATGTGCTGTTAATTTTCCAGAAAATGAAAAGAAAGCCAAGTTCCTTTAAGAAATCAGAATAAAAGGGAGATTCAGTTAACTATAAAAACAGGCATAGAGCTACCTAGGCTAGGTAGCGTTCATTTCCGGCGAGTGAACGCAAATTAGTAAGAAAAGGAAACAACCCCATGGAATAATGTGCTGAGAATAACGTGCTGAACAAAATGTTTAAGTTAAACTATGTAAAAAGCTAAAACTAGGGGAAAAAATGAGTGGGTTCTTTCACACCTGGAGAACTCTAAAGTGAAATGAGTTACAGCCTTCCACCTAGGTGACTGGCAAGTCATTTGAGTTGTCCACGCCAGTGCTGCCAAGGGAGCAGAGCAAAAGGCACGCGCACACCGTTGGAGGAAATGTGAACGTAGGGGATGATTTGTCAACATTTACTAGAATTTCAAACGTGCATATCTTTTGAACTTTTGAAATCTCACTTTTAGGAACTTAGCCTATGCATATGTTAGGAAAAGTTTACCTTGATATGTATGAGAAGGATATTCATTTAAGCGTTGCTTGTTTATAGGAAAATAGCAAGCGAGGGAGCTGGGCAGTGACTGCCCGCCTTTGCCAGCCAGCCACCCTTACAGGGCAGCCCCTGGTGGCAGCCCCTGGCAGTGCAGCGTATTGTCTGGGAGGCAAGTTCCTGGGTGCCACCTATCGTCACTGTTATTGACTCACCTTGAATGCTATTTTCGATGTCACCAAAAACGGGCTCCATCTTCTTTACAGCATTACTCAAACCATCTCTGACAGACTTAACAACAGACGCGGAGGTCCCAGTGAGCAGGCCACACAAGAGAACAAGTTTCCAAAGCTGAAGCATCTTGTCCTGACACCTGGACATTCATAGCAGAAACAGGAGTGAGGACTACCCAGAGGGAAAGGGATCTGCAGTGAGCACCTACCGCCCTTCCGCTGCACGTTCCTTTCAGAGAGATGTGGTCGGCTCCTGTGTTACAGGTGGGCAGCCCAGCTCAGAAAGCTAGAGCGACTTGCCCAAAGACACACAGCCAGCGAGTGGACAAGCTGAGATTTGAAAAGCCACACTTGACTGTAAGTCCCTGAGCTTTACAAAAATTTCCCCCCACATGCTGGCTTCTTTTCCTGGAATATCTGTCCTCTTCTTTGCATTTTTTTTTTTTTACCTGAGTCACTTCCTATAGACTCTCTGGCTTCAGGAGACATCATATCCTCCACAGAGTCTGCTCAAGGCTCCTCTCCAGAGTCTAGGTGAGGGGCTTCGGCTCACCACTTTTTCTGCCTTTCTTTCTCTGATCAGAGTCTTGGGTATCAATTATCTGATGACCTGTCTGCCTCTATCACCAGGCTGTGAACTCTTTAGAGGAGGAACTGTGACATTTCACTGTCGAATCCTCAGCCCCCAGTAAAAAGCCCGCAGGCAGGACAGTTCAACAAATAACTATTTGCTGAATAAAAGTATGAGCAAGTAAATGGGCATCATGTCATGACCCTGCATCGCTCATCAGTTTGACCCTTCTCTGAATATAATATATATCTGTCTCTTAATTTGCTATATTAAAAATATTAGCCAACCCAACTTTGTGGGGTGCCGTCGGGGGAAAGGCCACCACTCACAGGTTCTGAGGATGCTCACGAATCCTTGCTCTCCTGCTCGGTCTCCTGGGATTCTCCTGGGTGGTGGCGGCCCTTATATTGGCTGCTATAGGATGGGAGGATGGGCACTGACGCAAGCCCTGTTTCCGAGGTGGTGGAGGAGACTCCAAAGTAAATAGCCCCTGTCCGGGATGAGCAGAGACTTCTAACCCAAAGGTCACCCAGGATGCTTGAGTTGGAATGGGTGAATATGAGGAGGACTTTCTGCCAAGACTAAGACCAAGCTCTCATGGTGCCTCCAGCTGCAAAGGTGGCGGGCACCGTGAGTGGCGTCCTGGGTGAAGGCCAAGGATGGGCAAATTAGAGAATGTGCTAGTGGGAGAACCTATAGTGATCATCAGCTTATTTCTGTCATCAGCTGGAAATGAGGCTCATAAAGGAAAGTAACCAGCCTGAGGTCACCCAGCAAGACAGGAACAGAGAAGGGACCAGAATCGTGGTCCACAGAAGGTCAGGGTCAGCAACCAGAAAGGTCATTCTACCCAGTCCTCCTCTGGTGTCCCAGTGCTCTCACAGTAGAGCCAGCCTCAGTTCAAATGTTCGCAACCATGGGAGCTCGCTACCCTTTAAGACTGCCTGTTCCATCTGGTTAGAGTTCCTCCTGAGAGCGAACAAAATCTGCCTCATTACCCCCATGCGTGGGCAACAGTGAAACCCAGAAAGGTTAAGCGCCTTGCCTGGGCTTGCACAGCCAGCGTCAGGAGACACACACCACAGCCCCATCCCCGGCATACCCGCCTCATCCACCCTGCTCGCAATGCAGCAGCCAGGTGTGTCACTCAGTTTAAACCCAAAGTCCTACTGTGCCCCGTGGGAGCCTGAGTCATCTGGTCACTGTCTCTCCAAACTCACCTCCTATCTTCTCTGCTGGCCCTCACCTGTCTTCCTTCTATTCCAGAAGATTCTGACCTGTTTCCTGATTTGGGCCTTTGCATAAGCCCTTCTATCTGCCAGGGCTCTCCTCTCCAGCTGCTTCCAGCTCTTGATGTCACCTCTTCAGAACCTCCCTGACTGCCCACCTGAGACAGCCCCTCACCATTCTCTCCAGTCTCAGTTCCCTGATGGCTTCTTTCACAGCCAATTGCCACAATTTGATTTTTTTTGCTTGTTCATTGCCATCAGCAAATTATTACCACCCTGTGCTCTGAGGCTTTCCTCATATGTGGGTTTCAAAGGCTCTGACCTGTCTCTAGAATGCTCCAAACCTCTCTCCGGGGTGTCCTATAAAAATAGGCACTACCTGGGAAGGTGACAAGGTCCCCATGACCAGAGATGCTCAGAAATTGGACTAGATGCTGTGGGACTTGGCCTGACTGTGAGCAGTGATTCTAAATTTCCTTGGCCTATTGTTCAAAGACCATTTTTGCACATTTGTATGTTTCTTTCCCTTGGGTTTTCTTTCTACCTGAGCCTGGCTGCCCCACGTGGATATCTTTCCCTCAGGCTTCCTGTCTCTTTCCTTTTCTCACCCTCCCCTCCTCCCAAGACCCCAGCTTCGCCTGGCGGTGACCTCCCGGAACCACAGAGACTCGTGCTGGGTGCTGCTTCTCAGCGCGAACCACACCGGGGCTGAAGCCAGCTCTCCCCGTGGCATCGGCCTCACACAGCCAGGTTCTGGGGTGACACTAACTTGCCTATGGGTGTGGGTCTAGGGGGATGGCACAAAGGCAGTAGGGCAAACAGAGGACCCTGTCCTCTCACATGCAGCTTGAAGGTTCTGCTTTCTAAGGAGCTGTATTCTCAGGGTCACCCACTCCTCTGCAGCTTCAGGGCCCAGCTCACTTGAGGACAGGACTTGGCCACACCCTCAAGGGCTCCTGTCTGCTAAAGCATTTGGGGGCTCCCACGTCTCACCTACACTAGCCTACATCTCCCAAAGTGGGGAGAAATCATGCCCCCTTCCTGTGGTCGTCCAGATCCTACTCCCGATAGTGAGTGTATAGCTCACGAACAAGCACGCTGTACTCACGTATTACATGTGCACACACACACACAGAGCACACCCGTGCGTATGCCAGCCTGACTCAGTGAAGACACATCTCGCTGCCTAAATGAGGAGAACTTTGTTGTTGCTAATCCTCCCCAGGGGATATTTTTTTCATTGATTTTTAGAGAGTGGAAGGGAGGCGGGTGGGGCCGGGGGAGAGAAACATCAACAATCGATTGATTGCCTCCCACATGCGCCGGACCAGGGTTGGGGGTCACACCTGTAACCCAGGTACGTGCCCTTGATGGGAAATAGAACCTGTGATCCTTCTGTGGGCAGGCGGCTGCTCTAACCACTGAGAACACCGCCCAGGGCAATGAACGGAACTTTTTACAGTCATGGAGACCACGTTGCCACTGTTCTGATGAAAGGGCTCACTCCCTGCAAAGGTGGATTTGGGTCTCCCCAGGTTGCCAGGGTTTGTTTTCTTCCCTTAAAGACGTTAGAAACAATTACCTGGCAAAGCCCACTAGACAACAAAGCCAATACTAAGGAAATGGGAAAATACCGGTCTAGCCTTTCCTGAAGTTGTATATACCCCTGGACTTTTTAGTTCAAATACAGTTCTCCCCCTCCCTCTTTTTTTATTTTTGCTTAAACCTTTATGAATGGAATTCCTGCCACTGAAACCCACAGCAGTCCTGACTCATGCATTTAAACATTCTGATGGCTGCTGGAGGGTCACACACTACACTCAAAGATCACAGGCACCAAAGCCAGAGGGGCTCTTAGAACTCATCAATTTAACCTCCTTGCTGTGGGGTCTGGGGAGCCTGTGGCCCAGAGAAGGCGAAGGAATCATCCAAGGCCACACACTGACCTTGAACCCCACTTATTTTCCTCTTTATTGCATATCTTTTAGTTTTGTTGGCATTTTCTACTCTGGGCAATAGCCCATAAAAAAATTACACATTATTACCTAGGAAGCTTGTTTAAAATACAGATGCTCAAGCCCCATCCCTAGATAATTTGGGTCAGGTGCTCTGGGAGCCCAAGAGCGGCCTATGTCCAGCTGCCCGGGATTGCTGACCAAAAATGGGAGTGACTGGACTAGATGACTCAAAAGTGCCTTCTACACTGATTTCTCTGAGCTGTGGCTCTCATGCCAACCTCCGGAGCCCCATTCAGCCCAGGCATGACCCTTATAACCCTGCAACCCACATGTACAGCACTTCACAGTGCAGCCTGACTGTCCTGCAGAAGCTCAGACCCAGAAGAGCGGACTAATGATAACTGCCATTTATTTGGCGCCTGCTCTGACCCAGGTACTTTTCCTACTACATCTAGTTTCATCCCCTCACAACCTCTCAAGGGATGTTACTGCCCCTGTTTTTTGAATGAGGAGCCTAAGGTTTAGGAGAGAAGGACTGCTTGCCCAAGGTCACACAGACAGGAAGGGACAGAGCTGGGAAGGAAGCCCAAGTCTGTCTCTTCGGAGTGAGAACGGCTGTTCCAGCTCGCGGCCTCCTGGGGAAGCAGTGAGTCGCATTCTTCTGTTCTTGGTACCCAGTCGGAGGGTCTGGCAGCTGCTGTGTCCCTGGCCCTGGGCTTACTGCTTTAGGTTCACTTTTGCCATTAGTCCTCATGACTACCCTGTGAGGAGGTGTTGAGCCCCATTTTCCAGTTGAGGAAACAGGTTCAGAGAGGGTAGGTGGCTTGCCCAGGCCTCACAAGGACAGGAAACAGGTGTTTGGATTCCCCGAGAAGCCACTCTGGCCAAGGTCACATGGAGGCCAGCTGTCAGAGAAGAATAGTCCTTGGGCTTGAATATCCTGTTTATCCTTCAGGCTCTGTTGTTTGAATTGGTTGTAATGCCTGGTGCATTGGGCCTGTGCCAACCTGGAACAGGCCACAGGAAACTCCAGTGGGTGCCCACTTGGCAACAGATGCACTGGCAGAAAGCTCAGGGGCATCCTGTGTCTGTCTCTTCTGCTCACCCACCTGCAGCTCAGCAAGAACCAGGTGGGCTTGTTCTTCACGTGACTGTGGCCAGGGCAAAGGGTGGGACAGGCTCGGGAGCTAGCCTTCCTCACATTGCCCGTGGCTCCACCATTAGAGCACAGAGCAGGGAGAAGGTGGCAGCCTGGGTTGGGACCTAGAGAAACCAGGCCAGTAAAGTCTTTCTGGGCGGCCTTGGACCAGCCACCAGTCCCCCTTCCCTGGCTGCCTGGCACCCAGTTCCTCAAACATCTGAGGCCCCTCTTTCTCCAGGTGTGAGGAACAGAACAGGGCTGTGCTGAGATCTTATGAAGAGAGCTTTTCCTGCCCCAGGAACAGAGCCCAGGGAGCAGAGTGTGATATGGTGACCTTAGACCTGGTGTTGGCCCCAGGCCTCACTTGCTCCATCTGTAAAATGGGTAAACACCTCTGTGTCTGGATCCCAGTGCCAAAATGGAAATCAAAACAGGGGAGGGGCTCTGCGGGTGTTGGTCAGAGCCTGGCTCTGGAGTTGGGTTTGGATCCTCTCTCTTTCTGTCTGTTGTTGGCTGTATAATCTCTGTGAAGGGTGTCATCGCACTGAGCCTCAGGTTCCTTATCTGTGAAATGGGATGAGCAACAGGACTTACCACCCAGGCGTATTGTGAGGGTGAGGTGGGATAATGAGGGCGACAGGGTTAGCATGTTACCCTTGACACACAGCAACAGTGATGATGATGATGATAATTGTTGGTTTCTGGTCACTTTTCCCCACCCCTGTGTTCCCTCCTAGACAGCTGACCCCTTGGGACTCTGAGAGGCAGTAAAGAGCGTTGGGGGGGCCACTTGCTACACTTCCACCAGCCTGAGCGACCCCGTGCTCTTGCCTGGGCAGAAATCCCACCAGCTCCTGGGGCATGACCCCTCTCTGGGACCATGAGGGCAGAGGCCACAGGGCATCAGTCCCAGGGCCTAGAACACAGTCCACACTCAAGGCATATTTAT